CTACGCGCCCGAAGGTCTCCCATGGCTTGGGACCTTGTACTTCACTTCACCAGGCAGATTCTTTCTACAGACCGCAGATGGACCTGGAAGCCAAAAAAAAGGGTATCACTCGTTCGGGGCTCTTCCGTGAAAAAAGCAGGTGCGCAAGGCACCGATATCAAAAAGGGCTCGGCGTTTGAAGGAACCCAAGCAGTTTTTTGGTCTCCCGCAGCTTTCGGCGGACGACGCTCCGTGGCTACCCACTCGCGGGCTCTCACTTTTAACAAATGTGCTACGGCAGGAACATCCCTACCCTCAGCATCAATGAAGGCCCTTCTTGGCTCACGATTTTCCATCCCACCATCTGGCAGGATGGTTTCGCGTCGCGGAAAGGGCTGTCGCCTGCATAGCTCCCCCCCCCTTAGCTTTGCTTGATGCTCACACGGCCTCTAGAAGAAAACCACCTGGCCCTCCCAAGGCGGGCTCATGTCTCGGGCCATCATTCTTTACAACAACTTGGAGGGCCCAACTGCGGATTCCACCAATGGTTGCACTGTTAACACTCATTTAGCACTTTTCAACAGGCATTGCCTTCTGCTTATCTAGATGCCACCCAACCCCCCCCCCCCACCCCCACTCACCCCCCACAAAAAATGTCATCTTGTTTTGGATTCCTTTCAAGCCATAACGGCAACCAACTCCCTTCCCCTGCACACTCACATGCCCTTGTTCTTCACCCGATGTAGGTCGTTGATGGCGCTGATGTTCACCCGCTCCCATGCCTCAGAGCAGTCTTCGAGTGCAAACCCGGGTTTGCATTGTTTTTGCGGTAGCCGCATGCGCTGGCACATATGAGCACATGGGTTTGCACATATATGAGCGGTACAACTTCCTGGTACTCTGGTACTCTGGCAGTCCAATCGACAGTGCAGGACGATGGCGCAGGAAAAACACGCAAACCCAAATGTGAAATTAAATGCCCCTCATCATGAATGGTCGCAGGCCCTCTTTGGGGTCGCGAAAGCCTGCCCCCTTTTAGGATCTTACCAAGACCATCCTGATACGTCAGCTGGTCGCCCCAAGACACGAATGGGGCGTATGATTTGAAGGCATCCGTTACATTCTGGGCAGGAAGACCAAGGGTTCCTTTCGAAAACCCACCTTCTGAGCGTCAAACACGGCCTTTCCCCCCAAACATGTGGCTGGGCACAAAAGTTGGAGGTAACAGGCCCAAATCAAAGCCAAGGGGGTTGGCATGCAAAGGCCATAGAAATCAAAGGCGAAGTGGCAAATCTATGATCTTGTAACTTTGTATAGCTCATGTCACTTCACTCATTTGTGTGTCTCTCCCAGCCCTCCCACCCAACACACCTTTGATTCATCCATGGGGGATGCGCGACCTGGTGTGTTGGGCCTGCCCCTCCATCCATGGTCAGTGGATGGGGCAGGCCAACCAAATCGTTCCAGGGGAGAATTTCCCCCCGGAAGTGAAAAAGATCGCCGGTGAAAACGGCCATGTGTGCCTCGTCAACCTGTCAGGGGGCGCAAAGGGGATGGTGGTGGGTACTCAAAACAGGCCTGAGCCTAAACACATGTGCCGTTTACGTGACGTTTCATGAGTGGCAAGCAACCCATTTCCACGTCACTTCACTCATTTGTGTGTCTCTCCCAGCCCTCCCACCCAACACACCTTTGATTCATCCATGGGGGATGCGCGACCTGGTGTGTTGGGCCTGCCCCTCCATCCATGGTCAGTGGATGGGGCAGGCCAACCAAATCGTTCCAGGGGAGAATTTCCCCTTCCGCAGGGCGACCCTGGAACGCTTTCCTTAAATGGAGCCCGCTGCCACTACACCCGAGAGTGACAGCCTCCCTACGACTGACATGCCTCCTACCGCATGCCAGCTTGAGAGAAACCTCTCTCGTAACCCTCCACCTTTGTTTTGTTTTCTTTCCCCCCCTGCCTCACCATGGTTCCTTCCATCTCATCTCCGCCTTCTTGGGCTTCTTGGCCGAGTTCTTGTCGTGGTGCTCCTTGCCCTTCTTCCTCTTATCCTTCTCGAGCCTGATCTCCGAGTCCAGCTGAGTGGCCGCCTCCATGATCTTCGGAATAACTTTGAAGCCCAACTCGTCCAGCTCCAACCGCACCCTCAGGTCTGGGTTGAAGAGGGTGAAGTCCAGGTTGGTGAGCGCGTCCGCTTCTTCGTTCTGTTCCCGAGGTGTCCACCCGAGCTGAAGGGTTGTGCCCAACTCACCCAGCTGAACTGCTAGCTCCATCAGCACCACCGAGAGAGGGAACGCCGTGCTCATGTAGTGATCGATGACGTGCGTGTTGACCAGGCTGTCGGTGAACCCTTGCACCACGAGCTCGCCCACCGAGTCTCTCCACTGCGATCCTGGCCCGAAGATGCAAACAGCTATGGTGGTCGCGATCAGCTCCAGGCTAGCTATCACGCGGAACGGCTCGCCTTTGACGTAGGCCCACGGGGCCGTTTTCCGTGTCAGTTTCAGCGAGAACCACCGGGCCTCCGCGGTGGCGCGACCTCCGAAGGACTCCCATCCTCCGACCACCACCAGATCTCCCTCCGCCTTGGCATCCACCCGAAAGAGTTCGCCCACCTTCTTCGGCAGTGGCCGTGGCTCCGTCAGAGGATCTCCACTTTGATGAACTCCAGCACGATCTGCACCGCCATCGGCACCTGATGAAAACCTCCCGGCTGAAGCCTAGAGGTCCACGCGAAGATCACCCCCAGGAAGGGGCGTACCTGCACCAGCGCGCCAGCCACGAACGAAAGCCGTCCCAGCGCCGATCTCATCCGGCTGCCCAGGCTCCTTTATCCAGCCGAGAACCCACGCTACCTTGCTGTCCCCTATGCCCTTGAGGTAGTGCTGAATGTCGGCCTCGTAGCCGATCCAGCCCAGCCTGGCCCCTCCAGCCACCTTCTTCCAGGTGATCGGCACCTCCACCACGTCCATCACGAAGAACCAGTAGAGGATCCGCCTCCAGCAGTCCGCACCGTGGGCCCCAAGGAGCCCATCGTCAGCAAATAGCAGGTGATAGAGCTCGTAGGCTCCGGCCGACAGGTAGTGCGCCAACCTGGTGACTGCCGCGGCCACCCTCTGCCACCAGTAGGCTGCCGATCCGAAACCGAAGGCCCCCACCGTGTGCATGAAGACCTCTTCCGGCCTCTCCAAGCTGAAGGCCATGAGTGGCCAGTCCTGCTCCTTCACGGGCACCAACTTGTGTGCACGGCTGACATCGTACTTCATGAGCAACCTGACTGCCGGGTTCGCTGCATGGTCCGCCTTCATCTGCCTGACCATCGCCTCCAAATCGTCCACCCCCGGGAACCTCATGCGGTCCCTCGCCCGAATCCGGTGGTTGATCATCACCTCGTGGGTTGCGTCGTGAATGATCCTCACCTTCGATGACCCCAGCTCCTTGGGGACCGCCCCCAGGGAGGCCACCGCTAGTCTGCCTCCGAACTTTTCCCCCGCCGCCTGCTTGTCCATCCGGATCACGTGGCCCCTCTCGATGTCTTCCTCCATGTCCTCCATGTTGTCCACCGCCGAGCCGTAGTTCTCGCACCAGACCTCCTTGAAGGGGTCCTCCACCTCTTCGAGATTCCACTTCACCTTGGCTTCGAAGACCGCAGGCACCCGGGGCATCTCTTCGTCCACACCCAGGTCCACCCCCGTTTCCACCAAGGGGATGAGGAACTGGTGATCGGGGTCCTCCGCAACTCTCAGCAGGGCCTCCATCCTCCTGTAGTGGATCTCCGTGATCCGATCGGTCCCCTGCCGAGTCACCTCGCTTCCCAGAGAGGCCAGCTTGACGTCCACCTCCCTCCGGCAGCCGTCCACAAATTTCCCGAACGGTGAGCCGGTGAGCCTGCCCGCCGCCATCTGCCAGAACGTCTCCTGGCCTCTCTCCTGGCTCAGCCAACCTTTGAAGAACTTCGTGATGATCTCCCTGATCTCGCAAAAGTGGGTGCCCTCGGGAAAGTTCCTGGCCCCCACTCTCCATCTTCCCGGCGAACAAAGTCCTCCTCCGTCGTGAACGCCCCTCTTCTTGCCTTTGTAGCAGGCCTGCATAGGCCTCCCTACTCCCCAAAATCCCTTCACCTCGAAGTCCTTTTCTCCACTGAACTTGCCCTCCTTGATGTCCCCGTCCGTCTCCTTCCTGACGTCCCACGCGACCTTGCCCTCCGGGGAGTCCTTGATCGTTGCCTTCTTGAGCGCCCCCTTCTCGACAAGCCCTTTTACCCCTTCCGCAGGGGGCTTGGTGAGATGTGGTGCCTTCAGCAGCACCTGATTGATAGCCGCTGCCAGGGCCGCATCCATATCTGCAGGGTAGGTCGATGCGGCCGGAGTCCGGAAGGCCTCCTCTGGGTGCTGCTTGGCCAGACCGTACTTGTGGATGTGACCGCAATGACGTGGCAGCGGGCCCAAGTACCTTCCCTGGCCGTCCAGCTGGGGCCACTGGTTGTAGAGGAAACTGGCGTGCAGCGGTAGGTCCGTCAGCAAGCGCGTTGGCTTGGGGGTCGGGGCCCCCCAGTTGCACTGGTGCAGAGCGATGGATTGCATGCCCTCGAGCTTCTCCGCCGCGTTCCGGAGGTCTGGCAGCTTCCAAATGGATGCAGGCCGCACCCATTTGCCCTGGGCGACAGGGCTGTGTAGTCCACCAAGGTCCTCCGGGTGCTCCCCCAGGAAGTAGGGTCGGCGAGCGATCAGGTTGCACCACGTAGTGCCCAACAACATCAGGATGTCGATGAACAATACGATCATGATGTTACCTTCATCCGCCCGCTTCTGCAGCTTCTCTGAGAGCCATGGGTACCCCCAAGGCCTTGTTTCGTCTCGTACTGGCTTGGGTCCGAAGTGGTTGGCCCAAGTCACGCGCGACCACGTGCCACAAGGAGGGGTGACAATGATCACAGCGTACTTGCCCCCCTTTATCTGCTCCAGGATACCCTGCCGCTTGCCCTTGTCCGTGAGGTCGTGGTCTGGGTTCCTGAGAA